GAGAGAGAGAGAGAGAGCAATTGTATATGAATGATGGGTATGCTGACTTCCAGGCTGAGCTTTGGGGAGGTAAAAGGCCTGGAAGCATGGGTGCACCCCTCTGTTTGCACACACCTGAGTGTACACACTGTGTCCATAGGGAACAACAACAGCAGAGCTGGGCTAGAAGCTCTACTGCCTGGTCTCCGTCCCTGCAGCACTGCGATCCCAGGTTATTAATGCTGCCGCCACCCGCTCGTCATACATATTTATCGCCCCCCTCATTCCTCCTCCCATCCAGTCCTCCTCCCAACCCAGGTGAGGGGGGTAGGGGTGGCAAGAGTGATTGACTCAGGCAGACAAGCTTCAGCTGGCATCTAAGACCCAGAGGGTGCACCTGAGTAGGAGAAGGGAAGAGGCTGGGACACAGGGGGCAGAAAAGAGACCTGGGGAAGTGGTACTGAGCCCTAGAGAGGGCATTGGAAGAGGGAGTGGGTAAGACTTCAGGGAAAGCCAAAGGGTATTGTCAAACTCTGACCCCTAATCTCTCCCTTCTGGACCCAATCCCTCCTATTTCCAGGCAAGTCCAGTCAGTCTTCCAAGCTCCTTCCCCATGCTGTCTAATGCAAGGACCCCAAATACCTCCAGCTACCTCTTCCAGGACATCCTAGCACACTTGCACACAGTCTAGGACCTGCCCAGGATTGGTCAGTTCATTCTTCCCAAATGCAGGGATTGGGGTGGAAATGAGATTTGGCAGGGCAGAGAGAGAGGTGCCAGGATGTCCCCCCACCTCTGATCCCAGACAAATTGCTGTCTCTGCTTCTGTGATCCTGGAAAATCCCTGGGCTTTGGGTATCCACAGCCCCCACCCACTGCTGGAAACAGCCAAGATAAAAGGGAAGAGTGCAGGGAGAGGCAGCTGAAGCGACCTTGGGGGTGGGGAGCTCGGACAGGGACGGGGAGGGGTGAGAGTCGGAGAGGAAACGAGCCGAGAAATGGGAACATGGAATAAAATAAAACCAAACCCTCCCTCTGGCTTCCTTGACCGCTCACCCTCTCTCCCTCTCCTGCTCTTTCACTGTGTTTTCATCCTCAGGCTTCCCTCAATCTCTTTCTGTTTCAGTTTCTTCCCCGACTCTGTCTCTAATTTCCAGTTTTCAGGATGCCTCCCCCACAACATTTCTGTCTTTCTAACTGTGGCTCTCTGTCCTTCAGGTTGCCAGTTTCCAGCGGTGTATGAGGGGGAAGCAAGGTGGTAAGGGAGCTCCTTCTTTGCCAGAGCCCCCCCCCCCAAGCTGAGGACAGGAGTAGGGTGTTGTCCAAAGAGGGGACCCCCCCAACTTGTGAGCTGGTTTAATTAAGCTAATTGAGCCCAATGACATTTGCAGAGGGGAGAGGCTAGTAGGCTGGCTGTCAGTCAGCTGGTGGGGGGGGGTATGTGTGACTGGGCCAAGGCTTAAGCAGGCCTGTGCAGGAGGAGCTCTGCCAGGAGCACTTTGCCCCAAGGCAACGGCCCACGTACCTGAGGGGAGATGAGGTTACTAAACAAACTTGCCAGGGAGAGGAGACAGGGGCTCTTTGGGGATATGACTGCTGGGAATTGGGGGGAGGGGAGGATCAGGTTGTCAGGCCCCCCCAGCCGCATTGCAGGATACACCTCCTCTGGGCCTCCAGACTAGTCCATTGCTTCTCTTTCCTGCCTTGGGCCAGGAGGAGTGTTCAGGATTCATCATGGGGAGGAGCAGCACCCAGTGTTTGGGGAAGGAACAGTTCAGGCCTGGGTCTGGGAAGGAAGAAAATAGCATGCAGACTCCCTGCAAGTAGAAAGAGGCAACACTGCAGTTGGGGTGAGGTGAAGTCTGTCTGGGAGCTAGGGATAAAGATGGGGGTGAAGATAGAAGTGGTGGACAAGACAGGCTGAGATGAGGACTAGGATAGCAATGGACTGCTTCTGGGACTGGGGACTGGGTTGGGAGAGGCAGAAGATACAGAGATGAGGATGCTACATGGATAGGCATGGAGACAGAACTGAGGAGACTGGAAATGGTGGATAGGTATTGGGCAGAGCCTTGGATGTTGATGGACTGGGAACCAGAAGAATGAAAATAGGGATTAGAAGATGGAGCTAAAATGAGAGCAGGCATGGTGAATGGGTACTGGAAATAGGCTGGCATTGAGTATGGACAAGGGATTGGGGGATAGTGGTGGGGGGAACAGGCAGGGCAGACAAAAAGGAGGAAGAAAGAAATGTTAGAAGGCAGAAACAGGATGCTGATGGATGCTGAGACATAGGAGATGGGGGTGGAAAGCCAGTAGGGCCTAGATTGGACATAGGGGACCAGGAAAGTGATAGGAGATGTGGATAGAGGGAAGGACAGGTGACAAGACTCAGGAAAAGGCCGAAGGCCAGCAGCAGGATGAGATTGGGAGTCCAGGCAAGAGAAGGCAAAGGTACCTCTTCCAGACCATACTACAGTGCAGGGGGCTTGGGCCTGCTGGTGAGGTGGGCTCTGTCCTTGGGCCAGGCGCCCTCTCCCCGGCAGCCCCGCCTGCCCGCAGCCTGCGCAAGGCTCACCGTTATCTGAATTTTGATTTTATTTTATTTTATTTCCCTGCTTCCTAGAGCCGGCGCAGTCCCCCCGGGAACGGCAGCCCCCCCACTCCCACCCCCCGCCCCGCGCCTCACTTTATTATTGCAATAAATGTGCCTATAAAGGCGCGGGCTCCAGGGCGCGGTGGGGCTGGGGTTGGGGGGGGAGCCGCGGAGCCGGGATGTAATTTCCCATAGCCGGAGCCGGAGGGGGAGTGGGCGGGGGGGAGGGGGAGGGGGGGGCGGGGGGGGGGGAA